ACAAACTGGTCCGATTGGATGCGACAAGTTCGACTCATACGAAAAGATATACTATGTCGACCTTAACGCTGCGTACATGAGGTTTGTCCAATATATTCCGACTGGAATTCAAACGAAGATGGTGAGTTCCCGGGAAGGAACTATACATTGGAAAAGTCATACAACAACTGTATGATATTAGGAAAGCTTCAAACCCCAAACTTGCAATGACACTCAAATTGCTTATGAATTCGACATGGGGATATTCCATTAAGAAACCTCAAGAGATGAAGAGTAAACATTATGAGAAGGTCGACAACTTTGTTGAAAGGTTTTCTCCTTTTGTTTTGAAGTACGAATTCACTCAAGGTCAAAGTGGCTTAGTAACCACATTAAAACCTATTGTCGAACATTGGTCTTACCCTCAGTTCGCAAAGGCAGTCCTTGACAACTACAACAAATTCTTCTCCGAAGTCAAATCCAAAGTGGTTTACTATGAGAACATTGACGCACTCATGACGAACGAAGAAGGCTATAACAAACTCATTGAAATGGGCATGGTCGGTGAAAAGATGGGTCAATTCAAATTGGACAAAATTTTCACCGAAGTTCATGTCCTCTCCAAGCGTAAGTACTGGGGCATACTTGAAGACGGCACAGAAATAAAACATTGCATGAAATAAAAAATTTTTATTCGAATTTGAATAATGGGGTCGAGTTACACCATTCTTGGTCTCAAACTCATATATAACCTGTTTGTTTGTATTTTCGTCGACTATGGCACGAGACACGAACATTGACCAAACGGACAAAAAGTGTCATTTCAGATGGTCCGCAGCCAATCGCATTCGAGCACTTCGAAGAAGCCTTACGTTCCAAGGGAGAGGGTGTCTGGTGCAAGGCAGAGGTCATGAACTCTACGAGCAGTACATCCTCAATGCCTGGGAGGACAAATCGTCCTTGGATTGGCAATTCTACCAACTCCTCTGGGACGACCTCCTACGCAACTGGGATGACGAAAGAGTCCAATTCAGAGGTCGGGACTAATTGTCCAAATTACCCTTAATTTAACCCACTTAATGAACTAAACACCTAAATTTACTCGGGGTTTCCCCCTAAAATAAAATTTTTTTACTCTTAGAACCACTCGAGGTTCTCCTTACGGTTGTTGAGCTTGTCACCGTCAATGTGTCTGACCTTCGTCTTCTTGTCTGGATTTGGAACCCATTGAATTGCGACAAGCTTGCCCATGGAGATTGAACCGCGATTCCGAAGGTTAAGGTTCAAGTGTCCCAAGTTGTTGAGGACTGGGGTAAGAACCTTGCCTGTCTCCTTGTTGCGGATTTGTATGGGTAGGGTTGGGAAATTTCGTAAGTGTCATCGGCAACAAGGGTTGCCCAAACTTCCTTCTTCTTCTTTTCCTCTTCTTCCTCTTCTTCCTCTTCTTCCTCTTCTTCCTCGACAATTCCTTCTTCAATTTGTGTTCACGAATTACGGTGTTGAGGTTCTGTCCTTTCCGAGTACCTTCCAGATGGCGTCTATCTCTTCGAAGAAACGGTAGATGAGTCTGGCAAGGTCTCGGTTCTCTCTCGCGTAAATGCGCAAGGTTTCCGTCAAATCATTCAGGCTTTCTCATTGGAAGCTTGGTTCATGAGGAACTCACCTTTAAGTCCCTTCATCTCTTCCATAAGACTACTTTGGAGAGTCTTAACGGTGTTTGTCAGATGAGCTTTCAAATTCAAAATTTGAATTTGAACTGGGCGCTTGTCTGGCAACATTGAAAGGACATCTGCCATTGTGTTCGGCTTCGGTGCTTGTTCGGACATCGAAAAAATGAAGTGGTTTGAGAATGACGGTTTTACTTCAAAAAGCTTGTTATGACGGTTAAGTCATACAACAAGTTTAAAATAATATCTTGTTCTTCTTCTGAACGTTTGTTGTCTCTTCCGATAAAAGTTTCGAACATGAGAACCAAAAAACGTTTTTTGAGATTGCGGAAGAGTTCAGGCAAACGTTCATATTCTGGATATGTTGGGAGCAGTTCAAAACATCTGAGCTGACTTTCGGACAAAATTGGGACAATGTCAGAAAATTCATCTTTGGTCGGACTGCTTGAAGGTAAGTCCCTTACATGTAAGTAGCTCTGGTAAAGTCTTCTCATTTCTGCTAACTTTTGGAGTATAGCTTCGTATTTAGAAGTTTTAATTTTAATTGTCTTATTCCACTCTTGACATCTAAACGGTAACTATCCATGAGGTCAAGAGTAGCTTTGGTAGCTTTAAGTGGAGCTATCTCTTCTTGACTTGTGCAATTTTGGTTGCAATTGTGGTTTGAGCTCCTTCAAGTTCGCCGTCTATGTCGTTCTCAACGTCTTCAACCATAGCTTGAAACTCTTCATCGGTCCATTGAGATTGGTGTGGGACGAATTTAACTTGCTTCATTCAAAAAATGAAAAAAATGTTTTTACTCAAAGCGTGCCATGTATATGGCTATAAGAAACTTACCAGAAGGCTTCTTCTTCACATGAGTCTTTGGCAACTTGAGTGTTGGTGTTGGAGTTGGGTCTGGAATTTCAATTCTCTCTCGAGCGCAACAACAGATGTCAGAATAACATTCCCCACTGTCTTTCTTGCCACCATAAATTGTGTATTGACCGAACTTGCATTTGCAGGAAGACCGGTCAATACAAGGTTCACAGTTGACATATGTGTACACATACCTGTTGAGTACGAGTGTGAGTAAAAACATAAAAAAGTGAAGTTAAAATGAGATGTTTACTGTAAAGGTACGATGTCGCCCTCTGTGTTTATGAAGAACGCCCGACCCGAGAAGTGTAAGAGTCCTCTGAGAATTTGGGCAATTCGTACAGTTGGGTTCTCTCTGTTTGGAAGTAGTATCCAAGGACGCTTGGCAAAGAACTTCAAGAGGACTTCTTTCTTCATCTCTTTTATGTCGTCGAAAGGAGTGTTTTCTGGTATTTGCAGGACAATTCCAGTGTCAATTTCAATTTTAAGCGCACTTCTTCCAGACACCCAGCCTGCAATGGTCTTGTTTGACTTCAGATGGCTCAGGTAGTTCCTAACTAGCTCATTTATCTCTATAAGGTAGATTGCCTCATCTGCTGGGTCTATGTCGGTCATTGTTTCAAGACGAGTCTTTTACTTTTTCAAGACGAGTCTTTTACTTTTTCAAGACGAGTCTTTTACTTTTTCAAGACGAGTCTTTTACTTTTTCAAGACAAGTCTTTTACTTTTTCAAGACAAGTCTTTTACTTTTTCAAGACAAGACCCGTTATTTTTCAAGAAATTTTTTGGTGTAAAGTTCTCAAATTTGAGAACAGTGGTCTTGATTTCAGACGATACCCGTACTTTTTCAAGACAAGTCTTTTACTTTTTCAAGACAAGTCTTTTACTTTTTCAAGACAAGTCTTTTACTTTTTCAAGACAAGTCTTTTACTTTTTCAAGACAAGTCTTTTATTGTTTCAAGACAAGTCTTTTATTGTTTCAAGACAAGTCTTTTATTGTTTCAAGACAATGTCCGACGTACCACCAACCGAGCCCATATCCCAACCAGAGGAACCTAAAGCACCAGCCCCTGCACCTCAGCAACCTCAGTTCCAACAAGTACCTCAGTTCCAACAAGTACCTCCGAATTACTACCAATTTCCAAATTACTACCAAATACCTCCTCAAGGCTTCCCGAACTACCCTCCTCAGCCTATGCCTTACTGCCCTAACCCTTGGATGTTCATGTCAAACCCTCCACCCCAATTCCAATTCCAATCTCAATCCAAGAGAGACCAAGAGTTCGAAGAAGGTCTGAACCGTTTACGCAAAGAGTATGCCACAGCCCCTATGGAAGACGACAGGCTTTCAGTCTCTTCCCTAAGGTCGACCAATTCGACTCGTACCACAGATTCGGTTCGTGACCGTGACGACTACCTCAAGCAGTCTGAGAGACTCTTCATCCTACAACCATTTACAGTTGGAGCTCTCAAGAACATGCGCAATTACGAAGGTCAGACACCAGCTGGAGACCGTAAAACAGACGTACTCGCAAGAGCAGTCCAACTGGTCAAGACAAAGACGAGATAGTCGACTTCATTCTTGCAGCTTGCCCATACAAGTAAAAAAATAAACAATTACGAGTTAAACTTTTTACTCTTTCTTTTCTGAGTTGTTTAGAGCTGGTTTCTCTTGTAGGAACCTTTCGTACTCTTCCATGGTCATGTAATTGCGAATTTGGTACGCAATTCCAGGTTCGTTGTTTTTGAACCTTATGTATGTAACGCTTCCATCCTCCTCGGGGAAGTAAGCTGCTAACATCTGACCAAGTTTTCTCGGTGACTCGGAGCTCATAAAAATGTCACTTTTTAAACGTTAAGTTTTTAGTCTTATTTTACCCTTTGTTTACCCTTTGTTTGTCAAGGTAGTATTGGAGTGCAATTTCTCCAAATTCTCTGTGTCGGAGTTCTTCAGCATTTTCCAAGGTGTACCTGGAGAACTCAAAGAAGTTGTCAAGAAGATACTGCCATGCTGCTCTTCTGAGTTCGTCGGTATTTTGGAAGTGTTGCACCTTCGAGTCTTCGGACATGAAAAAATGACACTTTTTCTATTAAACCGTTTTGGCATTTCTCATGAGTGAGTATAGTTCTGCCGAACCATTGCTGGCAAAAGACAAAAATAGTTGCCTTAGCTGTCATTGCAATTGTACTCGTAATTGAATTCATTGTACTTCTCTTCACGTACATAAAACTCAGCAATGGTATTTGCTTTAAGAAGCTACCATCTTACTAAGACTAAACACTTACATTTTTCAAGCTTGACTTTTTACAATTTGAATTTTGTTGCTGAATTCAGTAAAAATAATGTTTATGTTAGAATGTTAGATCTAACATGTTTTCTAACACGTTTTCTAACATGGTCTAAAACTCTTGAATTTTCATGAATTTTCCCGAAATAAAAAATAAAATTAGTTTTATTTTTTATTTTATTTATTTTTTTTATTTTGTATAAAAGACATGATTTCAACAATCGGCACAACAACAATTCAAACTACAGCACCAAACTCGCTAGTTATGAATCCAACATCTATGTTAGTAGAGATGAAAAACTTCATTCCTTCTTCATATACTTTCGAAACAAAAATCCAGAAGATAAAGCAAGAACTTTTAACAAGTAATTTAGACTGTAGTGCGAAAGATGAAACAAATGAACAGTATCTTTATGAAATGCAGGACATTATTGACCATTTACCCAAATTGCCTGAAATCCAACAACAAAAACTAACCATTCCCGAATTTGACGAAATAGAAGTCAAAGCAACTGACTCAGTAGAAATAAAGAAGTTCATACGAAAGGTAAATTATGAATTCCTTGGTTTTCATTGCAACCATAAGGTTATGGACAAAGATTGCGACATGGTATATAAGAACATCTCTGACCTTTACAAATCCGAAGAATTTAAGACCTACGACAACTTTGTTTCATTAGTTGCAAAATGTGTTTGGGAAATAAGAGATAAAGATAGTAGGGGTAAGGTATGGAACGAACAAATAAGACCCGCTATGTTCGAGATGAAGAAAACCATTGACGCCTTAGTTGTTTTAGCAGGTAAGGTTTCAGAATATAACGCAAAAATGAATCCGCAATGTTCAAAATGTAAAGCAGCAATGAGGAAATATAACTACTCCGTCAAAGAGATAGAACGTATGCGAAACGACTATGCAGATTTAAAGAAAGAAGCAGAAAAACCAGCAGAAGATAAAATGAACATGTTAGAATTTCTGAACAAAAACTATCCAACTGCTGACGATTTCCTATTATCTGACGTCAAGAAGAAATATAAAGAAACCTTCGGCATTGTTAAAACATTCGATGTACTAAAAGAAGAAATTGAAGCTACGAAACTGTTTAGAGTCATGAACCATCGCAACATATACCATGTAAAACGCTTGTAAATAGTTATGTTAGAAAACATGTTAGAAAACATGTTAGATCTAACATTCTAACATAAACATTATTTTTATTGAATTCCGTATGAAATTTCATGAGTTTTGTATGTTTTAGACCATGTTAGAAAACATGTTAGAAAACATGTTAGATCTAACATTCTAACATAAACATTATTTTTATTGAATTCCGTATGAAATTTCATGAATTTCCTCATATGCTTGCTTCCCTCGGAAAACCGAGAGAAGAGATTCCGTATGAAAATCGTGAAATTTCTCTAGACCGACTTTTACCGGTCTAGCCTAAAACTCTATGAAAACAGTGAAAAATAACAGAGTATTTTGACAACTTCAAACAAGCAGAGTAAATGAACCATTTATTTTTATTGACTTTTTACAATTTGAACTTTGTTTGCGTAGATATGAATTCTGAAAGAAGTATGAGGGTCTTGTATGACTTTGTACTTCTCCCATAGTTCATGTCTGTCAAACTTACCTGCCATGGACTCTTTCATAAGTTCCATGAAATCGTCTTCGGACAATCCGGGGAAAAGTACAATGTCAGTAAGTATTCTCTTTACATCCTTACTTAAACTCTTTGCTGTCTGTACACAAATGACAACAGAGATGTTAAAGTGTCTGAGCTTCTTAAGAATTCGACACATGTCTTGTTCTCTGTTCTTTAACAAAGGATGAGAAGCAAAGTCATCTAAGATAAGAAGACATCTATGAGGGTATGTCTTCCAATCGTAAGATTGCAATTTCTTCGAAATGTATTCTATCTCTTTCTGTTTGTTTCTGAAGTGTTTCTTCTCTAATATTCTCTGCATTTCCTCATTTGGGTCTTTAAACTTAGAATTGACATACTCATTTATAGCATTATACTTTAAAACTCTTCTTTGGTACTTCTTTATCCAATCTAACAACTCAGTATCCTTTATACATACTAACTTAGACTTTTTTATAATATCTTTGAACGAATTTACGGTTTGGTCAAATTGACCAGAAGTACTACAAATGACTACTAACTCATAGAATGGGTTCTTCTCATCTAGTTCTTGTTGTTGTGCAGCCATTTTAAGATAAGTGAAAGTCTTGCCCGACCCAGGTGGTGCGATTAGACCTGTTATACCATTCTGAGCAAATAAGAACTTGTCATGTATAGGTTTTATCTGAGCATTTTCTAACTTCCTCTTGTTCTTGTTTAAAACATTCTCAAATTTCTTGTCAATGTCAGCAAACTTTTTTTCTAACATATTTTTAGAAAAATTAAAAATTTTATCTTTTAGGAAATGTCTAGCGATTTCGCTATCTATATTCGAGACAAGCTTTTCGACAGCAAAACATCTGTAGACCATAAAATCTTACATAGTGTAAACAAGAAAGGTGAATTTGTTCTAAAGTTCTGTTTCTGGGAATATGACAAGAACCATAAAACATTAAGCAGAGAAGTCTTTAAGTTTGTCAATGACAGACTTGTTGACAGAGATGACGCCGATTGGAAAGATGAAGTCCAACAAAAGTTCTTAGAATGCAAAGAAGACACATGCGCTGTTCTTGAAGATGAAATAGAAAACAGAATAGAAGAGCTATTAAAGGACAAAGACCTTTTACAAAAATATGGTTCTGAGAAGTTTGACATAACTCCACCAGAGAAGAAGAAGAAGAGAGAGAAGAAAGAAAAGAAAGTAGAAGAAGAGAAGAAAAGACCAGAGCCAGTTCCAGAGAAAAAGAAATTTGACATGTAAAATAAAATTTTATTTTTAGAACATTTCTGGGTCAATGTCAATGTTCTCTTCCTCTTTAGGAGCAAACACTGGTTTAGACTCTAAAATCTTTTTACCCAATTTACCTTGAACTTCAACTATCTTAGACTCATAATATTCATAGTCGTCTGCTTTCTTTGGTTCATAAGGTATAACAAGTTTGTATGCTTTGCCTTCTTAAGGTTTGAAAACCTTCTGTCAAAACTTTCTTTGACTGCTAACAAACCTTCTATGTCTAAGTCTTCAAATTCGCACCATTTTGAGTCACAATAGCAAACTTAACTGGTTCGATGTTCCAAACTTTGCTGAATGAAGACTTTTCAAAATGGTAGAAGTAAACATTCAAATATGTAATGGGTCTAGTTCTTCTTTGTCCTGTCATGTACTTGTTTACTGATATTTCGTCATCTTTTCTATCGGATAAAAAAATATTTTTTTAAAATTTACTCAGAAAAATTTTTCTTTGTATATACGCCGTTCTGAACATCTAAAAGATTTTTGACATTTGCCAAGAATGTTCGTTTAGAAGCTGCCATATAACCATACTCTTGACAATATTGTTTATACGATCGTACAATGACCTTTCATCTAAACACTCAAAGTTAGTCTCATCTATAAACAGTTCATATACACTCTTGTTTGCTTCTAACAATGTTTGTCTTTCTTCGGTATGTGGAATTTGTCTTGGATTGAACTTTGAAATATCTAATGTCATAAATATGAGAACAAGTGGTTGTAAAAGAGTGTCAAAGTTTCTGCTAAGTCGTCAAAATATTCTGTATCTTGCATATGAGAATCTGACGTTCTGACAACTACATATCTTCTGTCAGAACTTTCTAACTTCATCGGAACAGCATTGTTTGAAACCATAATGAAGTTTGCAACATTTTCACAAACTCTTTGGTCTTTATATTTTCTTTCAACAACTCCAACTTTGTCTGTTATAAGACTCTTCAAAGCATCTGAGTTTCAAAACTTTTGTTGTATCTATACTTTGAAGTTCGTTACATACTATAAGTTTCATATTCTCTATTGAAGAGTTAAATTTACCGCAGATGTTTTCTAAGTTTGTCATATTCGGGTTCGAATAGCCCTCTAACAGTTTGCACAAAATATCTGTAAAGAAAGTGTTCTTACCAGTTCCTTGTTTTCCAATTATAATGAGAGCAGTTTCATTTTTAGCACTTGGATGTTGTAAGATGTTTGCAAACCAACATAAGATATACTCATAGACTCTTTCGTTTCCATTGCATATAATTTCTTTGACATGGTCTAACCAAGCTTCTATAATTTTCTTTCCATTCTACTTGTTCGTATTTATATCCAGTGAAGATAGAATAGAAGTTTGGAGAAGGTGTATAGAACTTTATACCACGAACTGAAAAATCTTCTAACTTTGACAATAAGATATCCCAAGCATCTAACATCTTCATGCCAACTTGTACGACTTTTATTTTCTTAAGTTTCTGTCTACATTCTTGTTCTGACACTATTGTTGCTCTTGGTTTGTTAAAGACAACATCCCATTCTTTCATGACATAACATTCTGGGGCAGAGTCGACATAAATGACTAAACGTTTCAAATTCTCGACTGCTTTGTTATAGTCTCGAAATGGACACATATTTCTGAATGCTTGGAAGTCATAAAAATCTGAAACATCTATTCTGTACATTTTTATAAAAATAAAAAAAATATTTTTTTATTCTTGACTTTGTTGTTGCATTTGTTGTTCTTGAGCTATTTGTTGTTGAAGTTGTTCTTGTAATACAATACTTTCACCAGTTGCATCTTCCAATTCGAAACTTTCTGCCGTCATTGACAAATACATAGGACATAAAAGTTTTACAGGAACAAAGTTTGCGTCTAAATGTCAACGTTATACTTGCCAAAGTGTTTGAGTTCACTAAGGCTGAAAACTCTGCATTCGAATGAACAATAGGCAAACCAGCAGAGAAAGTTGTTTATACGCATGAGTATCTTTTGGTCATAGTAGTTTCTGTCGACATTCGAATAGCACTTTGAACCTAAGTTTGAAACAATATATAAAATAGGTGTACTTAAAGTCAATGGAATAGACAACCTTGTATGACACCTTTTCCTGTTATAGGAAACTGTTGGTAGTAAAAACCAGAATAAGTTTTGTATTATAGCTCATATCGTTTATAGTAAACTCAGTCGGACATCCAAACATAATGAAACCTGCTCTAGTTGCAGCACATGTTACATCCGTCCTTAAAGTATTAAATAAGTCAACAAAACCTGTTGGTGGTATATCTGAGTAAGTATCTTCAAAGAAGTATTTTTTACCATTCACAACAACAAAGTCTTCTGGTGTCAAAAGAGCAAAACAGGCTTTAGTCGTCATTGTGTTTAAGGTAGTTTACAATATCGTCCTTGAGGACTTTGTAAGTTTGTTGTTATAGAATTATATGACTCAGGGTTTTTAGTCGTAATAGTATAAACCACTATGTCTTCTGCCATTTACTTAGCAATAAATTTTAATGAAATGTTGTGGTCGTCAAATATTTTTATGACGTCTGGGAAACTATATTTTAAGTTCAACGTTTCACCTCCTTTCATAACGTATATCTTGTCAATGACATTATATGAAACACCACAGCAAGCAATGTCGGGTTCTATTTCTTTGATGTTTATATCGTCTGCCTCTGTCAAAAGTTTCAATAGTTCTTTCAAAACTTCATGAGGTGCGATGACATATGAGTTCACTTTTACAGGGTTGTGTTCGACCAAGTTTAACATTATACCAAAGCTTGACAAATCTTCTCCTGAGTTTTAAGTTTGTCTTTAAGTTGTTGGTAGTCGTTTCGAATATCTGCAACAGAACTTAAGTCTCTGCTAACTTCAGGATATGTTGGTTGTTCTTTTACAGGAACTATTGTTATACCATCTTCGTCTTCGTATGGTTTCCCCACTTCAACATCTCTTTCTTTGACATTGACAACAACACTTTGACTGTTTGTTTGAGTTGGTGAATTTAACTTCACATCTGCCACCGCCATTAAACCTTTTGAAACACTTACGCTTCTATTTTTCGGAAATGACATTTTACTTAGAATAAAAAGATGGACGTATTTGAGTATCTCTTCGAATTGAAGCAAAACAAAGTTTACACACACAAACAATACAAATACATTGACAGAATAGTTCTTTATACAAACAATGGAAAATGTTATAGAATAGCAGTCTTTGCTGAACCAAAATATTTTCATAAAGCAAAGAAA